GAAAACTATAATCCATTGATTTGTTGTATGAGTAAACCATCAGTTCTCAAAACAGTTAAGGTGGTAGACCAGGAGTTGTTTTAAGACGATGGTTTTCAATATTTGTAGTGATTTCAACATTATCATAGTCCATCTTTAGGCCCCATAGAGCTCAGGATGGAAAATCTTTGTTTCTTTTTTCTTTTCATTGAATTTATTGGGGTGATACTGGTTAATAAAATTATATAGGTTTCAGGTGCACAATTTCAAGACATATCATCAGTACACTGTATTGTGTGTTCACCACTCCAAGTCAAGTCTCCTTCCATCACCATTTTACCTTCTTTTTTTGTTGTTAATCCTGACCTGAGGATATTTTTCCCATTGATTTTTATTTTATTTTATTTTATTTTATTTTTTTTTTAATTTTTTTATTTATTTTTATTTTTATTTTTATTTTTTAATTTTATTTATTTATTTATTTTTTTGTTACAGATATTTTACCTTTTTACCCCATTGGCACCCCCCACCCCACCCCCCCTCCCCCCTGTCCCCGGCTTAGTTGTCCATGTCCATTGGTCATGCATACATGCATATAAGTTCTGTGGTTTATCTCTTCCCACCCCCCCACCCCCCATCCCCTCTTCTGAGGGATGTCAGTCTGTGCCCTACTTCCATGTGTCTGGGTCTACTGTATTCCTCAGACTGTTATGTTCATTATATTCCGTATATAAGTGAGATCATGTGGTATTTGTCTTTTCTGCTTGGCTTCTTTCACTTAGGATAATACTTTCCAGGTCCCTCCATGTCGTCTCAAAGGATAAGAGATCTTTCTTTCTTACCGCTGCATAGTACTCCATTGTGTATATGTACCACAGCTTTTTGATCCATTCGTCTACTGGTGGACACTTGGGCTGTTTCCAGATCTTAGCTATTGTAAATAGTGCTGCTATGAACATGGGGGTACATATATTCTTCCTGATTGGTGTTTCAGGCTTCTTAGGGTATATTCCCAGCAGTGGGATCCATTGATTTTTAGAGAGAGTGGGAAGAAGGGAGGAGAGAGAGAGAGAGAGAGAGAGACATCAATGTGAGAGAGAGAGAGAGACATTGATTGGTTGCATCCCGCACATGTCCTGAGAGAGAGAGACATTGATTGGTTGCATCCTGCACATGCCCAGACCAGGCCAGGGATTGAACCTGCAACCCAGGTATGTGCCCTTGACCAGGAAATGAACTCAAGACCCTTTGGTTTGTGGGCCATTGCTCTAACTGCTGAGTCACACCAGCCAGGGCACCATTTTATGTTCTTATTTCTAATTTTATCTATGAATATGTATGGTGGGTGACTTGGGGTGTCCTGTGGGATTAAGGTACCCAGAAGGTAGGTGCTGTGAAATCTGATATATTTGATTCTATCATCCAACTAGTAACAACTTTGTTGGCAAAAAATGTGGCTTTAGCCTTGACCGGTGTTCTCATTGACCCATGGACCAAAGGGTTATGGGTTTGATTCCCAGGTAAGGGCATATACCTGGGTTGCAGGTTTGATCCCCAGCTCCGGTCAGGGCATGTACAAGAGGCAACCAATCAATGTGTCTCTCTCATATCAATGTTTCTCTCTTTCTCTGTTTCTCTGTCTCACCTCCTCCCTCCCACTCTCTAAAAATCAATGGAAAAAATATTCTCAGGGGAGGATTAACAACAACAACAACGACAAAAGAAATATGATTTTATTGCACATGTCCAGTATAAAATCTTAGCCAAATTACACATGCTTGTTTGTTTTTGTCCAATTGATTTCCAGAATTCCACTAATGTTCAATATCCAATAAATATGTATTAGGTGCCTACCATGTGACAGGGTTTGTGCTGGAGACTGGGAATATAACGGTGAGCCAGACAAGTTCCATCCCATAGAGACCCAGATCAAAAAAGGAGACTGGAAATGTACCCAGGCAGTTATAAAGCAGAGGTGTTTACATAGGGCCAAGGATAGGGAGTGGTGAGATCCCAGGGAGTTCAGTAATTCATCCAGTTGACATTTATTCAGCATCTTTATTGAGGATCTACAAAGTGCTGGGCATTGAATAGGAACAGAGAGAACAAGGAGGGAAAGAGAGACGCTTCTCTGCCCTCGTGTTGCTCTCAGTTCAGTGGGAGAGAGACAGGTAGACAGGTAATTACATCGTGCTGATGCTATGAGAGGAAAGCATCCAGCAACACCAGACCCAAATGTGGGGTGGTGAGGAAAGGACCTAAGCAGCAGTGGGAGGATCGGAAGGTGGGGAAGAGTGTTCCAGACAGAGGAGAGGGTACCATGCATAGCTCTAAAAGCAAGAGAGACCACCGACAAAGTCATTTCAACCTGCCAGAACAAAAATTTGGGCGGAGTGGAAGCTGGAAGTAGAGGGTTGGCAAGAGATAATGGGCGCCCAGATGGGGACAAATCTTATAATTGATATTAAGGAGTTTGGGCTTTTGTTTCTGAGGATAAAGGGTAAAGAAGAGATTTCAGCAAAGGAATGAAGTGGTCCGATGTTCACTTTAGAAAACACAGGCTGCCATATAGAAAGGGGATTGCAGGGTGAGACACCAGGGGCAGACCAGTTGGGAGGCTGTTGGAATTCTCCTGGCTGGTGCTAGGAATGGAGACTGAGGCAGATGAGTGATCGGAGAGCTGCTTGAGAGGCGCAATCAACAGGAGGTGGGGAGCATCGCAAAGAAGGACTCCAGAGAGTATGCTAGCTGCTGACCTCAGCAACGGAGAAGACAGCAGAGCACAGGGGGCTTGGACGGGGGTGGGTAATTAGTTCTTTTTGGTATATGTTGGATTTGAGGTGACAGGGAGAGAGTCCTATGGAGATATCCTGGAGGCCACTCCATCTGGAATGGAGGAGAGAGCGCTCAGCTGGAGTCTGCGATTTGGACATTGTCAGAATAGAAGGGTACCGAGCCCATGGGCATCAGTGAGATCATTCATGAGTGTTTGGAGCAAGAGGAGGGCAGGGACCGAGAGAGAACCCAGAGAAAGCATTAAGGAAATGTTTCAGAGAGAGGGGTGCTCACAAACAGGACTGAGCCAGGAGAGCCAGGAGACAGTGGTGTCACAGAAGTCAAGGAGTTCACATTTATCTGGCGTTTGCCTTTAACTTTCGTCATAGATGTGGATGACTTACAGAAAACGTATGAGAGGAAAGCATACATGTAAAACACTTCTATCTATGCATTTATTTTCTAGAACTTGGGAAAACAGTTCTCTCTTTGGTGCATTGAATACCAGGGTTCTGTAAGGCCACAGTGAGAGAATCTGGCCTAACATAAGGAGGTATTCGTAGGAAGCCAGAGTCTCCACGGAGTCTAGAAGGAGAGAACCCAGAGGAAGATGTGTCCCGGCCCGACCAGCACTGGTTGAGGGAGGAAGCTTGATACAACAGGAACACACTTTGTATCTTTCGAGGAGGAGCTCAGTCCAGCAGTCACCCCCACCCAGGCCTTTTCATAGTTCATCTGCTCTCTCTGCAAGCCTGCTCATTAGCTGTATATCCCAGGGATTGCTTAGAAATCAGCATGTTGTGCCCTGGCGGGTTTGGCTCAGCTGTTAGAGCTTCGGCCCATGGACCAGAGTCACGGGTTTGATTCCGGTCAAGGGCACGTACCTCGGTTGCAGTTCTGTCCCCAGCCCTGGTCGGGTCATGCAGGAGGCAACCAGCGGATGTGTCTCTCTCACGTCGATGTTTCTCTCTCTCCCTCCCTCCCACTCTATCTGAAGATAAATAGAAAAATATCCTCTGGTGAGGATTAAAAAAAATAATAAAGAAAGAAAGCATCTTGTGAGTCTGGTTAGAAAGTGTCAAGTCCTAGAGCTCTAGTGGGTCAACACGAAAGAACTGATGAGGTTCAGGAGCCTGCAAAGCTGACTTAAGGCTCAGGGACCACACTAGGGCACTTGTTTAGCAGGACAGCAGCCCACTCCCCCTGGCATCTCATTAGCTGCAGCACCTCACAGAGCAGGCTCTGCCTCCTGGATGCTCAGGGACAGTGATCTGGAGGGTAGGGGCTTGGTAGTGGTTACATCGAGCTTTATATGGGGAGAAAGCAGTAATGAAAGTTACGGAGGAGGGTCGTAAGCCCCCTGAACTTTTTAGTTTTTTATTTAATCCTCACTGGAGGCATTTTTGCATTTATCTGGAGTGGAAGGGAGCGAGGGAGGAAGAGAGAGAGAGAAACATCCATGTGCCACTCACATGATGGGGCCGGGGACAAACTGCAACCAAGGTACATGCCCTTAGCGGGAACCGAACCTGGTTCTCTCTAGTCCGCGGGTCGGCACTGCAACTGCTGAGCCAAACCGGTCAGGGTCTGAACTCTCATCTTGAATCTGCCACTTAATTGCCCCTTTCTTTCCTTTTTTGCATGATTTTTCCCTACGTTTCCTATAGCCCAATACACATATTGCAAAATGACACCTCTACGTGTAATGTCTGTCCTTTGCTGATTATTTTGGTGCGACTGAGAAGCACAGGACGAAACGTGGATGAGAACTTGAATCTCTGTGGTCAGTCTGGCTAACGTCATAGGCACAGGCTTGAGGTGTGTGTAGGTGGGGAGGGCTCAGAAGAACAGAAAGTGCTGCCCACCCTTGAAGAACCCACAAGGCTGGTGTGGTCACGCACACAAGAGCGCTCAGCGGCAACTGCCACCCATGGATTCTCTTCCAGGAGGTGGGTGGGGCTGGTAGAGATGAGACCTGGTGCTCCTGGCGGTGGTGCTGGGGTTGGGGACCGAGAAGACTGCGCAAACACCAAGCTTGAGATCACTTAGAACCGCACAAAGGAGGGAAGGAAAGAGGGAAGAGGGCCGAGAACAGAGCAGTTTCTCTGGGTGGGAGCCACGAAGCCCAGCGGGCCTTCCTGGGGAACTTCCTCAATAGAAAAGCTCAAGGTCTGGCTCGTCTCAGTCTTCGGGGCCAAGCGGCTGTACCTTTCTCTGGCTGCAGTCATTTGATCGCTAAGGCTTCTTCTTCAAAGGTTCAGGGAGTGTCTCTCACCGAGCCCTGTTAATGTCACCACTTCTTCCCGGAGCGGACACACAGAAGTTCAACCATTCTTGATGGTTCTAAAATAAACTCTGTGAACCCTCTTCAGCTTACCAAAAAGAAGAAATGGTTGTTTCAAAATGATGTTTTTTCATATCTGCAGGTATTTCAACATCATCATAGTCACATTCAGGTTCAATATAGCTGGGGATGGAGACCGTCTTCATATTTCTATCTTTATTTACCAATGAGTATGCTGGAGACTCACTTGGGGTTTCCTTTGGGGCTAGAACACACAAAAAGAGTCCTTAGATGCAAGCTCTTGTGTATGTATATGTTTTTGACCAAGCGGCTCAACATAGTTTTCGTGGGGAATCTTTCCTTTTCTTGGTGGATCAGATCCCCATTTTACAAAGGAAGCTGAAGCACAGACAGGACAGTCTTGGGATCACCCAAATGAGTAAATGGCAGATATTGGTCAGACATCTTTTTTTTTCTTTATTGATTTTAGAGGGAGAAGGAGAGAGAGATAGAAATATCTATGCGAGAGAACATCGGTTGGCCGCCTCCTGCATGCCTCCCACTGGGGATCTGGCCCACAACCTGGGCATGTGCCCTGACCGGGAATCAAAGTGGCAACCTCTTGGTGCATGGGTCGACGCTCAACCACTGAGCCACATCGGCCGGGCTGGTCAGACATCTTGACTGTCATATTTCTCTGCCTAGACTGCACTGCAGTGGGGACCATGAAAAAGAAACTTTGGCTGGAAACGGACCAGAGCTAATAGCCAAGTGAGGAGTGTTGTGTCTACAGATCCCAGTTCCCACAAGGAAGTGATACAAAGTATATTTTCTTTCTGGCAGTGACTGACACTGTTTTCCAGAACTGTGGCTACTTGCTCCTGTGTGAGTCTCTCTGCTGAGGAAGAAGGGAATAGTGGTGTTTTCAAAAGGTAGAATTAGTGGGGCATGGATACTTAGCAAAGGGATTAGAGTGGCGAGGGGAAGGATGACCAAGGAGCTCAGCTCCACCTCTCCTGGGGCCTGGAACTGTCTGCTCCCTAAGAGAACCTGCAAAGCTGCCACCATTTCCATTCCTGCAGAGTCTGCAGTTATAGACAAATCAGAGTTCATGTTCAGGCTCCAGCCGTCACTAGCTGTGTGACCATGAGTAAGTCACTTAACTTCTCTGTGTCTAAGTGTCCTCATCAGCCAGAGGGTAATTACAATGTACTGCCTCACACCGTTATTGAGAAGATTAAACAAGATAATGCTTGTAAAGAGCCCAGCGGGGCCAGACGCACAGTGCCTGCCCAATCAATGTTAGCTAATATTATTATTTACCCATCCGAGCAAAACATTTTTATCAATTGTCTACTAAGCTCCAGAGACTGTATTTAGTGGTGAACAAGACAAGAAAGTCTCCTGTTTCCCGGAGTTTATATTTCAGTGGAGGAGACGGATACATAAATGAGCGATAACGAAGTAAGGTAATTTTGATAATTTCTGGAAGCTGCATAAAGAAAAGTAGCAGGATTGCTCTACAGAAGGTGGTTAGGAATGGCCTCTCGCAGGTGGTGACCTGTAAGCCGACGCTGGAAGTTTAGGTAAAGCCATTGGTGTGAAGACTTTAAGGAATAATGTCGCAGTCAAGCCCAGCAGAGTTCTTCTAACGGAGGAGTGAGCGGCCCAGTGACAACCCCACGTTCCTTCTTACTCCGCTCCTCGCTGGGGTTTGAATATGAATTTATAAATTGAATATTGGGAGCACTGATACTTATCCTAACCCTTTAAAATAGGTTGCTGCGCCCTGGCCAGTTTGGCTCAGCGGTTAGAGCGTCAGCCTGCGGTCCGGAGAGACCCGGGTTCGGTTCCCGCTAAGGGCACGTACTTCGGTTGCAGTTTGTCCCCGGCCCTGGTTGGTTGTGTGGGTGGCAGCCACTCGATGTGTCCCTTCACGTCGATGTTTCTCACTCTCTCTCCCTTCCTCTCTCTCCCTCCCACTCTATCTGTACAAAAAATGGTAAAATGTCCTCGGTTGAGGATAAAGAAAAAAATAAAAAATAAAAAATAAAATAAAATAGGTTGCTGCCATCTGCAAATCGTAGCCTGAATGTTTATGTCCTACAACATTTGTATGTTGGAGCCCTGAGCCCATTGTGGCTGTATTTAGAGAGGGGGCCTGTGAGGAAGTCACTGATATTGAATAAGGTCAGAAGGCTATAGCCCTGGTCCACCAGGAGTAAGCGCCCTGATATAAAGAGACACCAGAGAGCTCTCGCCACCTGGTGAGGACACAGCAAGAAGGCAGCCATCTGCAAGCCAGAGAGACAGTCCTCACCAGAGACCAAATCCCTGGCACCTTGATCTTGGATTTCTAGCCTCTGGAACTGTGAGAAAATACATTCCTGTTGTTTAAGCTACCCTGTCTATAGTATTTCGTTATGGGCAGCCTGAGCCAACTAGGACACCTAGATAAATGTGTTATCCTACCTTGAATGAGACTGCTGTCACCAAAACATACTTACCGGCATCTTGTTGAAGCAGCAAACCTCTGGGTGGCAGAGGGGGTAATTGATCGACAACATTCCTGGAGAGAAAGAAAGAGGAGTTGGTGTTTGGTTTTGACCAAGCCTGCTGTCAGTGGCTTTAAAGGAAAACGTCAAGGAAAGTGGACAGGATTGAATATTCAGATCTTGGTCCCTGAAACTTGGAAGCAGTACTTTCTCTTTCTAGGTCTTGCCCCACATTTGTAACCGGCCCCCTCTAAAGAAACCACTTGCTGTGGCCCAGAGAGCTGGATCTGAGGGAAGGGAGTTGAAGCATTGTACCTTAGAGCATGGAGCACCCCCCCCCTCCCCCTGTGCTCGGCTGGGCTGGTTAAGAGGGGGTGGTAAGCACCAGCTGTATTTTGATTTGCAAAACAGATGTACTCCTAAAGCTAACTGTCCGTGCACCATGTGATAGCAATTCCCACTATTGGATATATGCCCTACTGAAATGCTTGTCAAAAGACACAAATATTCATAGCGACACTAATCATAACATCCACAAACTGCCCAAATGCCCACCTGCTGTCGACAGAATGGATAAATTCACTGTGCTACACTCCCACAGTGGAATACTCCACAGCAGTGAGAGTGAACAACCTATAACCACACACACGAATCTCACAAAAATGCTGAGTAAAACAAGCCAAACACCAAATAATACATACTGTATAACCCCATTTATATAAATCATAAAAACAAGAAAAAACTAACCTATACCATTTCAGATAGTGGTTACCCTTGCAGTGGACTAGCTGAAAGGGGATATAGATGTTGAGGTGCTGGTAATTTTGTTTTGAATCTGGGTGCCGCCTGCCTGGGTCTGTTCAGTTTGTGGAAATTGACTGAGTGGTGCTCTCACTGGTTGTGCTTTTCTGTAGTCATATTATATTTCACTGAGATAGACTCCAAGCAAGTCTCGCTCCTCTCTTTGTACTCTGATTTTCAAACTGGTACTAGATTCTTTTTTTCTTAAAAAAATTTTTTTATTGATTGATTTTTAGAGAGAGTGGAAGGGAGAGGGAGAGAGAGAGAGAAACATGGATGAGAGAGAATATCGACTGGCCGCCTCCTGCATGCCCCCCACTGGGGATCGGGCCCACAACCCGGGCATGGGTCCTGACCGGGAATCGAACCAGCGACCTCTTGGTGCGTGGGTCCATGCTCAAGCACTGAGCCACACCAGCCGCGTTACTAGAGTCTTCTGAGACAAGTTTTGTTCTGGTCCACGAGGTTAATTCCCCCGGGGAATGCATAGGCATGTGTGGGTTGTCGGGTGAGTGGGGAAGGGGACGTGTGGCACGAGCTCCATCAGTGGCCTTTTTCTCCACCTGTACGTGGCTCTTCCTTGGAAAGGAGGGAAATTGATCTGACTCCTAAATTTGGGAAAAGTCCAGCTGCTCCCACTTTCTCCTCCAGAGCAGGCCTGAATGCAGAAAGCACATATTCTGCTCTGGTCTTTGCCATTCAGAGGAAGGGGCTGCCCTGGGGGCAGACCTGAGATCTCCAGAGCGGCCTGTGCACCGTGCAGGAAAGTTCTGGTTTTGAATTAGAAAACACACTTGCCCTGGGGGAAGAGCCACATCCGCAATGCCAGCTTTGTTCTAGTAGAGGCAGTATTTTGGTTACCCAACTGCATGACACGTTTGTCTTGCTCCTCAGTGGATCAGAATTGGTGGGGAAGAGGCCTATTATTTGCTGGACCCCTTGAGCCCTAACAAAATTAATTTTAGAAAAGCATAGATTTTGCTTCATATAGTGTATATATGCCAAAAAAAAAGGACTGGCCCTTGATCAGCTCCTGGGAAATAAGCTCTAAGCGCGTGGACTGTGCTGCTTGGGAAGAGTGACTTTGTGTACCTGGGGCCTTGGGCCAGCCAGATGGTTTGTGCGAACAGGGTGACTGGTAGTGAATGCTGCTTGTGTTTGCCTGGGGCCTTGGGTCATGTTGTATCAGTCTGACTTCTGGAGGGGCTAAAGACTGAGTAGTTAAGTAGTCATGCGGGTACTCCATGCCTATGTGGCTGGTGCCCACTAAAACCCCTAGAAATCAAGGCTCAGGTGAGCATCCCTGGTTGGCAGTGCTTGGCACAGGCTGTCACGGCTCATTGCTGGGAGGAGGAAGAGCTGTCCATGTGATTTACTGGGAGAGGACAGCTGGAAGCTGGCACCTGGTCTCTCCTGGACTCCACTCTGGGCCTTTTTCCTTTGCTGATTTTAGGGGCGGGGGCGGTGCATTTTTCATCCTCACTTGAGGATATGTTTTATTGATTTTTTTTTAGAGAGAGAGAAAGAAACTGATTGGATGTCTCTTATACACACCTTGATCAGGGATCGAACCCACAGCCTAGGTATGTGCCCTGGCCAAGAATCAAACCCACAACCTTTTGGTGTACGGGTCAACACTCCAACCAACTGAGCCACCAGGCCAGGGCTCCCTTGCTGATTTTAATCTGTATCCTCTCACTGGTGTAGCTCATAACCACAAATATAACAACTTTTCTGGGTCCTGTGAGTCCTCCAGCCGAAGGGAGGTCTTGGGAAGACCATAGATACCCAACACAGATGGCAATCACAAAGCCCCAAAGATATCACAAAGTACAAAAGTAAAGGAATGGCATATTTTTGTTCAGCACAATAGCTTTTAGAGGACTCTGCTTTTAATCCACCTCAAGAAAAGAAGGGCAGAACTCACCCTGAATGGTAGACCCAGAACACAGAGCCTGACCCTTGAGCTCCATCAAAGTAGATGACAAGCCCTGGCTGGTTTGACTCAGCAGTAAGAACATTGGCCTTCGATTTCTGGTCAAGGGCATATACCTGGGTTGCAGGTTCGATCCCCAGCGCCAGTCAGGGTCATGTGGGAGGCAAACAGTTGACGTGTCTCTCTCACATCGATGTTTCTCTCTCTCAGTCTCTCCCTTCCACTCTATCTCTGTCTAAAAGTCAGTGAAAAAATATCCTTAGGTGAAGATTAACAGCAACAAGATAAAGTAGATGACATGAGGGAGGAGTTGGAGAGCGCCCCAAAGCCTGAGACCTCTCCCCTTAAAGAGGGGAGAATTGGCAGACATGACATTTCACTGGCTGCAGAGGAAAAGCAGGCATCTAACCTACTCCCCCAGCAGCGCCGGCCCAAGAGTGGAAGTGAGCAGGCAGTTCTCAAAATGAAAAAGCAGAAGGAGCTCCCCACTTACTCATACATCATTTCTTCATCTTTATGTATTTGTTTCAAGGGTTTAGCAATTTCCAATTTCTTTCCTAAAGGGGGAAAAGTAAACATATTCATTTAGGAAGAATTAGCAAAAGTTGTGATGTTAGAGTTTAAAAATCCTCAGAAACCAGACAGGCTCAGGACAGTGGGAAGAACCACAGATTTAGGGACACAGCAAAAAACTGGCAGCTGGAATTTAACCCAGGCTGTCTGAGCCTTTTGCTAAGCCAGTGAAGGCGGGAGCACGTGGGCTGTTTATTTCCTCGTTGCCTAGTACTGCGCCTGGCACGTAGTTGGCAATCAGAAACATCGGCCCAATGAATAAGCAAAAGTGTGGTTGGGAGGAGATGAGATAAAGAATGGGAAAAGCAGTTTGTAAATTGTGATGTGCTGGGCACATAAGTTATAACTTGAGATGCTGCAATCAGCAGCCACAAGAACGAGAGAAAACACTGGAGCCCAGTGAGCCTTGACACAGATTTTGCCTTCACGTCACCCCTTAGGCCTGGAAGAGTTCTTGTACATTAGTTAACCTCCTTCCCTGCACTATGCAGATGGGGAAACTGAGGCCCAGCGATACAAATTAGTGGCAGGGCTCGAACTGAAACCCAGAATGCATGATGCTTAATCCAAAGTTCAGCCCATACAGTCCTGGAACTAATCTTCTTGCTCTAAAGGAGCCCCAATGCACTGATAAGCACTCCTGCACCTGCCCAGGTGAGGTGGCTATTACCTTGTCTGAGCAGCCGCCTACAGACACAGTACAGTACGAGGCCCAGGACCACAGAGACCGTGATGATGGCCGCAGCCAAGATGATCCAGAATTTGTCCCTCCACCAATCCATTGCAGTGGATTCCTGAGGAGAATGGAGATGGAGGACGAGGCATGAGGGAAAGGCATCCCGGGGCGGTGCGGCAGTTACCTACCTCGCTGTGTGAAGATCTATCTGCTTAGAGATCAGGCAGGCTCTGGTTCACGGCCAAGCCCTGCTGATTAGCAGCTGGGAGACCTCAGGCAAGTCACTTAACCTTCTCTGAGCCTCAGTGTTCTCGTCTGCAATATGGGAGGGATACCGCCTATGACTTCACAGGGGATTTGCAAGGGTTAGAATAAGATACGAGCTGGCTGGGCACTCTAGACATGGAAGACGAAATCGCTGCTCTTTCTCATGTTGTCCAACAGGCAGTAGGAGGGGACACTTTACTTAAAGTGATAACCGACTGCAGTTGTTTTTAAATCAAACAGGCAACGTGGGCTTAATTCACAACGCGGGGATAGAATTTTGAGCGTGTTTGTTTTTGAGGTGGGGAGCATCATTAGAAAGTTTCCACAGCGGAAAGTGACAGTGCCTTTGTAGGGCAGTTATGTCAATATTCACCCCTAAATTGTTGTAATCTGTTCCCCTCAAACCTTCAATTAAATTGCACAACAAAAGCTTGTATTAACAGAACCTGGAGAAAAATGACATGTGCAGTGGTTTTTCAAGCCAGGGGTGATGGGGGGGGGGGCGGCAAGCAGAGGGAACAGCAGCCCGGCTGCAGCTGACAGTGGGGGGCAGGCTGCAGGATGGACTCAGGGGCAGCCTCCAGGAATTCAGGGAGATCTCGGCGAGGGCTGGGCTCCCCTCACCCACGGAATGGACATACTGCCAGTTCATTTGGGTAGTAAAGTAGAAATGATCCTCGAGGGCTGGGAGAGATCCTGGAATATCTTGCCTAAGTGGGAATCAGCTTCCTGTGTTACCATGTAGCCAGTGGGAGCTCACCATGCGTGCCGACGGAGTGCCGTTTCTGATTCATGCTTTTGAGTAACATTAACAATGTCTGCGGGGCTCCAGGCAGGTGGCATAGGACGTGGGGCAGAATTAGGCTGCTGCTAAAGCCATTCTTACTACAAAGACCTTCTAACTGGCCTTACTATTTAAAAATGGGCATGACTGGCACAGTGCCTTCATCTATTAAGTGGTTCTATTACAATCTGGATGTTCAGTTCCAAATTTTGTTTCTTTAGTGAAGGCTGGCTTAATCAAATAGAATGTTCTTTGTCTGTTAATTAAGTTTGGCCCTGGCCAGTTTGGCTCAGCAGTTAGAGCATTGGCCCACGGACCAAAGAGTCGCGGGTACAATTCTGGTCAAGGGCACGTAACTCGGTTGTGGTTCATCCCCGGCCCTGGTTGGGGTCGTGCGGGAGGCAGCCAGTTGATGTGTCTCCCTCACATTAATGTTTCTCTCTTTCTTTCTCTCCCTCTCTCCCATTCTATCTGAAGATAAATGGGAAAATATCCTGAGGTGAGGATTAAAAAATAAATAAAATAAAGTTTGTGTGGCAAAACCAATTATGTATAACCAGCGCTGTGCAATGCTCATCATTCTGCAGCTTCCTTTTTTGCTCAACATTGTTTCTTATCATTTATCCATGTTGGTAAACATGCTGGGGGTTTATTCTTAAGAGAGCAAAGGAGCAGCGACCAGGGACCAGGGGTATCTCATCCCCAGGTGGGCACCAGGCGGAGGTTTGTTGCAGACTACCCTTCAGGATGCACAGAAGGAAGTAATAGAGGCAGAAGAACAAAGGGGAAAAGAAACCATGGAGACTAGAAACCTTGCTTGTGATGGGGGCTGTGATACTGGGTTTTGCAGGGCCCAGTGGGGTCAAAGGGCACGGGGCTTCAGAAGCTACCAGTATCAGAAGGTGGCCTCTTTGTTCAACAAACCTAAATTAGAATTTCACTTTTTAAAAAAATGTCCTTTTGAGCCTTGGCTGGTTTGGCTCAGTGGTTAGAGCGACAGCCTGTGGTCCAGGGAGTCCTGGGTTTGGTTCCTGCTAAGGGCATGTACCTCAGTTGCAGTTTGTTCCCGGCCCTGGTTGGGTCATGCCGGAGGCAGCCACTCGAGTGTCAGCCACTCGACGTGTCAGTTTCACAGCCACTGGATGTGTCAGTTTCACGTCGATGTTTCTCTCTATCTTCCCCTCTCTCCCTCCCACTCTATCTGAACAAAAAATGAAAAAATGTCCTGGAGTGAGGATTAAATAAATAAATAAATAAATAATGTCCTTTTGATTCCTACTTATTTTTATTTATTTTTTTTAAATCTCACCTTCTTAGCTCTGGGGAACCAGACCGGTAGAAGAACAGACAGATAAATAGAATTTCTTCTCTCCATTTTCTCCTTTTTTTCACATATTCACATGGGTCTCTTTGTCTAATTCTCCTCTCCTATTTTCTATTTGTCTTTTTGTCTCACGCTTGAAGGATTTCTCCACACAGCAACCTAAACATTCTCTTTGGGGTTATAGACACAGATGCAGGGGTTCAGAGCCAGGACTCCAAGGAGCATGACTGGGTGAACAGGGCAATGGGAAGACAGGGGGCTGTAACTTTCCACTATAAACCTTCTGGATCACTTGATTTTTTTTTTTTTTAACTATTTGCGTTTAGTGGATAAAAATGGAAAAAAGAGTCAACCAACCATACAGTGGAACTTCCATGAGAAACCATAGCTCAGATTTCAGGTTCAAAGACATTACGTCAGAAAGTGAAACTATGGGTCATTTTTCAGATCTACGCAGAGTGGTACATATTTGGTAGTTTTGTTCTTACGGATCACCTGGCTTTGATTTTCTTTTTTTTTTTTTTATCCTCACCCGAGGACGTTTTTCAATATTTTGTTCAGATAGAGTGGGAGGGAGAGAGAGAGAGAGAGAAAGATTGACGTGAGAGAGACACACCAATTGGCTGCCACCCGCACGACCTCACTGGGGCTGGGGACAAACTGCAACCGAGTCACATGCCCTTAGCGGGAACCAAACCCGAGTCTCTCTGGACCGCAGGCCGACACTCTAACCCCTGAGCCAAACCAGCCAGGGCCTGGCTTTGATTTTCTATCAGATCTTTCGAATGTGTTCACTGCATCAAGTAGTCCACTTTCTCATCTCTCCCCTCATCTCAGCCTCACCACCACACCAGAGCTGAAGTTGAGGTGAAATGACCTGCCCAAGGTCACCAAGGTAGAAAGAAGGGCAGATGCTTTCTATGTTACAGAGCCTTCCTCCGTTGATAGTAGTCATGCTGCTCCCAAACCATCAACCAGAAACCAAATGGGATTCAGGATATTTTACTTTAAAAGGAGCATCACTGCCCTGGCCGGTTTGGCTCAGCGGTTAGAGCGTCCGCCTGCGGTCCGGAGAGACCCGGGTTCGGTTCCCGCTAAGGGCATGTACCTCGTTTGCAGTTTGTCCCCGGCCCTGGTTGGTTGTGCGGGTGGCAGCCACTCGATGTGTCCCTTTCACATCGATGTTTCCCTCTCTCTCTCTCTCTTCCTATCTCTCCCTCCCACTCTATCTGTACAAAAAATGGAAAAACGTCCTCGGGTGAGGATAAAAAAAAATAAAATAAAATAAAATAAAATAAAATAAAAGGAGCATCACTGCCCTGGCCAGTGTGGCTCATCGGTTAGAGCATCGTCCCGAGCAACAAAAGTTGCAGGTTTGATTCCCGGTCAGGTACCTGGGTTACAGGTTTGATCCTTGGCCTGGGTCAGGGTGTGTGGGAGAAGCAACCAAGTGATGTGTCTCTCTCACATCAATGGGTGTGTGTCTCTCTCCCCCTCCTTCCCTTCCATTCTCTCTAAAAATCAATGAAAAAAAAATATCCTCGGGTGAGGATTAACATCAACAACAAAATAATGAATAAAATAAAATAAAATAAGCATCACTGTGGTACTGATATGTGGCGTGAGGAGCCAATGGATCCCCCAGAATGAATGATCAGGGCCCACAGTTGAGAATAAGCATCTCAACCAAAGTCCCCGAATTCTAAGACCAGAGAAACAGCCCTTTTCCTCATGGACCACTGAGAGATGCCTTTCAACAGAACCACACAAAACTTGTTTTTGTTGCCCTGACCGATTTGGCTCAGAGGTTAGAGCATCAGCCTGCGGTCCAGAGACACCCAGGTTCGGTTCCGCTAAGGGCGCGTACCTCGGTTGTAGTCTGAGGTACTGGATGGGTCGTGCGGGTGGCAACCACTCAATGTGTCCCTTTCACGTCGATGTTTCTCTCTCTCTCTCTCTCTCCCTCCCACTATATCTGAACAATAATTGGAAAAATGTCCTCGGGTGAGGATAAAAACAAAAACAAAAATTTTGTCTTTGTGGGAGAGTGCAGCTGAGAGAAGGGGCCCCAAAGAGAATCACATCTCATTCCCAATCGGATGCCCTCTGGGCCACCAGGATAATTTAATGGCCAGGGTGCCACCAGAGAGGCCAGAGGAGCTCTGGGGAGTGATGGCTGGAGTCCAGCCAGAGGGCCAGGTGCAATGGCCACATGATCAAGGTCAGGCCCCGGAAAGGTGTGTAAGCTGATTCCCACCCATGTCAGCAGGCCTGGAGTAGATGAGATTGTGGGGTGCAGGATGGCTGAGAGCTACTGAAGCATGGGGCAAAGACGTGTTTGCAGGAGAAGATGCTGACAGTGAGCTCAGCCATGCAGTCAGGTCTCTCAGGGGTTCACAAGGAACTTCTCAAGGGCCAAGGGCCAGAGTCTTCACTCAACGCCAGTAACTAGCTCAGCAGGAATGACCTCCTGCTGGGAGACTTCCTGTGGCGAACTGTTTGCCCTGTCTTTGCTCCTCCACCCAAATACCAGAGAAGAACGTGCCGGGCCAGGGTGTCGGGGAGCTGAGGCAGCCCCACCCCCTCTCTACTCCCTTCACTGGGGCAAAGAGGAGAACATTGATTCCAAGACTGAAGTTTTAGAAGGACCACAACTAAATGTTTAAAACTAAAATGAGTCCGGCTGGTGTGGCTCAGTGGTTGAGCGTCAACCCATGTACCAATTGGTCGCTGGTTCAATTCC